TCAGTCTCTGATGGGTTCTGATGCGAAACCACAGGCCTTCCAGCAGTACTGACCTAAAAAAAGCATCTCGCAAACTCTGCTATTTTACAGCACAGATCTGAACTGTGAAGGCTGGAGTTCTACAGCAGAGTTACTTCATTCATTTTCCTTCGGTTTGTCCCATTATTCATTAGGGGTCACCACAGTGGAATGAACCGCCAACTATTCCATCATATGGTTTACGCAGCGGATGCCCTTCCAGCTGCCATCCAGTACTGGGAAACACCCAATTTAGTTTTTTCATTTCACCTGTACCGCATGTCTTTGGACTGAGGGGTAAACTGAAGCTCCTGGAGGAAGCCCATGCAAACTTAGAGAGAACATGCAAACTCCACTTAGAAATGCCAACTGGTCCAGCCGGGACTCAAACCAGCAACTTTCTTGCCTATAGCCACCACCTAAACCTATTCACTGTGGTGTTCTGCAAGGATCTATTCTTGGCCCTCTTTTTTTTCTCTTAATATGCTTCCTTTAAGCTCAATACTCCGCAAACATAACATAAGCTATTGCTGCTATGCTGACGATCTCCAACTATATTTTCCAATCAAACTAGAAAAAAAGATTTATCATTAGAAAGTCTTCATATGCCTAACCGACATTAAGACCTGGATGATAAATAACTCTCTCCAACTAAATGAAAATAAAACAGAAGTGTTATTATTAGGTCCTGTTGCTACAAATGATTCAATTAAAGAGCCCATATTATGGGTTTTTGAAAATGCCCCTCCATGTAGTGTGTAACACAGCTCTAAGTGAAGTGAAGTATCCAGCTAAGGCTTAAATCTGTTAGTGTACAGTGTTTAAAACGGTTGATTCATCTATAAAAGAGTCGACTCATAGTACTTCACACGAGTCGCCTTGATACCGATTCATTAGGTGTTTCGCCATGATGTACGAACGAAACCAAGTTATTCACGTGCACGCGCAAACCCGGGAGATTTCAAACCTGCGGCCCGCCCTCTGACGCAGAAACCCAGACACACACACACACACACACACACACACACAAACATGCCGGTCGATTGAAGTCACACTGCAGATGGATATTATCGAGTCTCTACCCAAAGATGAAACCTCAGCATTATAGCCAAGCAGTTGGAAACTACTGGAAACTTCTGGAAACTACATGCTACAAAGAATACTTCATCAGCGTTTGTTAAAGGAAGGATCAGTAAAGAGTAACTTACTGCTGGACGTCAGGATAGATTTTTCTTCCTCCATTTCTCAAGTGTAAGTACGTGCGATTAAAGTTGTTGCCTCGTTGACTCTAGCTTGCAAATGTATTTAGTTGTGATTTGTTACTTGTAACCGCGTGTACTGTATCAGGTTAACTGGCTATATTCTCTTATCGCGTGCAAAGTCACGTTAAAAACGCGACGCGTGCTGCTTTGTTAACGGAGCTCCGTGGACGAGGAGTAGTGTGTGTGTCTGTGTGTGCGTGTGCGCGCGCTGTCGTCCGGAGGTTTGTGTGTGTGTGTGTGTGTGCGCGCGTTGTCGTCCGGAGCAGGGTTAAGTGCGTGTGTGTGTGTGTGCAATATGTGTGTGTGTGTGTGTGTGTGTGTGTGTGCAATATGTGTGTGTGTGTCTGTGAAAAGAGCAAAATGAGAAGCTAGGAGATCTCCTCAACTGTTTTTGGAGTTTTTGCTCAATAAAATAGTCAGTCGTCTGTATTTTCAAGTCCATCGTCTGTATTTACATTGACCCACTGGCAGCTAAAATCCACGCCTACACTATCGAGCGTGTATGAACTGTGATTACTTTTATATTGCTGATTAGCTGTTTGGCTTTTCACTCTCTGACTGAAGGCAGTTGACCAATCGCAACAGACTGTCATCGGTCCAATCAGCGCAGATTAGCTTCGCGCTAAGGAGGGGTTTGGGAACAAATTAATCACTGGACGATTCATACAGGAGTCGCTGGGATAATTAGGTAAAAATAAATGCAGATTATAAGACCACGAAAGTGTTTTTTGACCTTGCATACATATTAAACTGTTGTTGGAGACCCTTACAACCAAGATATGACCCTATTTCATGTATAATATGGGCTCTTTAAAACTCAGCTAGGAGTCCTAAATGACAATCTGCACAATCACGCCAAAAATCTCGCTGTTATCTTTGAGCCACTCTTGCAGTTTGACAAACATGTAAATGCGGTTGTGAAGAGCAGCTTTTTCCAGCTTCGATTGGTGGCAAAACTTAAACCGTTTCTTTCTAAAAAAGATTTAGAAGCCGTAACCCATGCTTTAATCTCCTCTTGGTTAGACTACTGCAACTCCTTGTACATTGGTCTACCTCAGTCAACACTCTCTCGGCTACAGTTGGTCCAAAATGCAGCCGCCAGATTAATAACAGGAACTAAGAAAAGAGATCATATCTCCCCTGTCCTCGCCTCATGGCTACCTATAAAATACAGAGTTGATTTTAAAATCCTTCTTTTCACTTATAAAGCAGTGCACAATTCTGCCCCGGCCTATGTCAGTGAACTTATTAGGCCTTATTCAGCTTGTAGACCATTAAGATCCCATGACTAGTTTCTTTTGTCTGTCCCTCGGTCTCGCTGCAAATCAAAAGGTGATCAAGCTTTCTGTGTTGCAGCCCCAAGGCTCTGGTCTCCCTCTGAACATCAGGATTTCTCCTTCATTGGATGCTTTTAAATCTAAGTTAAAGACTTATTTTTACTCTCTTGCCTTTGAGTGATGCATGCATTTTATTTATTATTATTATTTTTTTTATTATATATATTTTTTACTTGTATTTTAGTATTACTTTTAAACATATACATTTCCTTGTATTTTAATACCAGTTTTTTTAAGTTTTGTTGTCTAGTTTATTTTATTGTAAAGCACTTTGGATCAACTACGGTTGTGTAAAATTTTGCTCTTTAAATAAAGTTTGCCTTGCCTTGCCTAGAGGCGACAGTGCTAACCGAATGAAAGGACAAGATGGAAGGGCATCTGCTGCGTAAACCATATGCTGGAATAGTTGGCGGTTCATTCCGCGATGGTTACCTTTGAAATAGAGACTAAGCTGAAAGAAAATAAATAAATGAAAAAGTAGTTAAACAAGCAGCAGAGGTAATTTTTGGAGTGTATGTTTGTATTTGTGTATTTCTTCGTCTGGAAAGTAATTTAATTATTTGGCTTAGTACTCTTTCAAATCTCTTAATGCAATTAGCCAATAGAAAGTAAAAATTTAAGTAATTAATTTCCATGAAAGGGGCCTTTTGACTTAAATTAAAAGACTTTTATACTTAAGAACATTTTCAAAGCAATGACACCATTTTTCATACACTGTAAAACATGATTAGTTGACTTTATTAATAAAGCCCTATAATTTAGTAAATGAACTGTTTATAATTCTAAAAAATAAATAAAGTCAGATTAACAGTTCCAAGTTTACAGGTTACAGGTTTCTCACTTCATTAACTAATTATTTTTACAGTGTACATACCATAAATCAACATTACTATATTATAAAATTCATTGTAAAGTATGTATATATATATATATACAATATATATATATATATATATATATATATATATATATATATATTGTATGTATGTATATATACAGTTGAAGTCAGAATTATTAGCCCCCCCGAATTATTAGAATAATAATAATAATCTTAATCCCTGTTAATTTTTCCCCTATTTCTGTTCAACAGAGAGTAGATTTCTTCAACACATTTCTAAACATTATAGTTTTAATAACTCATCACTAATAACTGATTTATTTTATATTTGCCGTGATGACAGTAAATAATATTTGACTCGATATTTTTCAAGACACTTCTATGCAGCTTAAAGTGACTTTTAAAGACTTTACTAGATTAATTAGGTTAACTAGGCAGGTTAGGGTTATTAGGCAAGTTATTGTATAACGATGGTTTGTTCTGTAGACTGTCAAAAAAAAAGTTAGCTTAAAGGGGCTTATTATTTTGTCCTTAAAATGGTATTTCAAAAATTAATAACTGCTTTTATTTTAGCCGAAATAAAACAAATAAGACTTTCTCCAGAAGAAAAAACATTATCAGACATGCTGGGGGGCAAATAATTCTATATATATATATATTGTAGCGAGGCAGAGGAAAAAACACAACCACAGTTAGATGATGTTACAAACAATGCCCCGGGGGGGTGCTTTATTTACAAGTGTATAAGGGGTGAATGAGTGCTCTTCTTAAGGGTGCGTGCTCAAGTGCTCCGGGGAGATGGTGAAGACTGGTGAGAGGTATGGTGTTGGATCGGTCACGAGCTAGATTCGGCTGTGGGAGAGACAGAGAGAGACAAGCGTTAGCGCAGGGAGTCATGTGCAAATGAAGCTCAGTTTCCTCCTGTGTGGGGCTGGCTTATATCTCTCCCTGGCTGATGAGGTCCAGCTGTGAGCGATCCGGGGTTGATGAGTGTTCCAGCTGGTGTGGATTTGTGCCCAGGGCGACGTGGTATTAGCCGACTCGCTACAATATATATAAATTAGTGCTGTCAGTCAATTTAAAAAATGACTAATTAATCGCACCTTTTTGTTTGAAAATTAATCGCGATTAATCACATTTAAAAGACTGAAATTTGTAACTTTGGCTATTCAAATGTAAAATTAATGTAAATGCAAGACAAAAACTATTTAAATTCGAAATATGATTGTTTATTAGAATTTTTGTTTAACTTGTGACACAGATTTCTTCATGTAAACAACATACCCACAATAAACCATCAACATCCTGGCTTGACAGCCATATTTATTACAGAAATAAAAACACAGGCATGTTAGTGATGGATGGATGGATGTGTGGCGGGGGGGGCAGGTGGGCTGATGGAGCTAGACCTCCAATCTGACAATATTAATGATTTACCCGACTATACCACCTTGGGAATTTCACCCAAAGAATTTAAATACACACACCACCCATATAAAAGGCACGCACAAGTTCGTTCCACCAAATTGCAGTCAGAGACATTGGCACGGTACAAAAATAGATTTCTTTATTTTCAAATCTCAAATAAAAACAGGATTAAAACCAATGTCGACATTGACGTGACAGTTTGTAAATTTACGAAGGTGCCCCAGGGCCAGAGCTCGCCAGCGTTAGGGAAAGTGGCCAGGCTATACTTCAGGCAAGTGAAAACCACTACAATCCACTGTGTAAAAATGGAGCACCCACACGCACAAACCAGCACACAGTGATCACTACACACTGTGAGAAATTCTAAAATGTCCAATAAAATTAGCCTCCCACCCCAGGGAGCTCTGACTCTGTCACCAGCCGAAAAGTCGGACCACTGCCCTGCAATTAAACAAAAAGAATAAATCAGTTTACACAAGTAAATGATTAAATAAACAAAATACAAATGTAATGAAGTTGATAAATGAAAACAAAGAAAGAGCAACTAAATTCCACCTTAAAAGGGAGGAAACAATTAAATCTTAAACCAAATTAATTAAAGAGAAAATAAATGAAGCAATAATGAAAATACAACAGTAAAGATTTACACAAAAATGTAAGGAAAAATCAAAACATGCTGGATGAATGTCAAAATAATAAAAATAAACAAATAAATCCAGCCGCACTATATAGATTTATCCAATAAAGAAAATGAAAACCCAAACAAACGAAGATAAATAAATATACCAAACAAAAAAATAAGTTAAATAGTCCTTGTGTAAACCAAAAACAGAACAACTCAAAAAGATAAACAATTAAGAAAACAAAGACAAAATCTAAGGAAACAGAAAAAAAACACGGGAAACAGGACAGCACTGTAGCCGCACACGGATGCGGAGCGCCCGACGGAGCTCCCCTCGCAGAGTGCCACCCAGCCTGAACAAATAAATCAATAGTCATGATAAAGTCCAAAATCTGCTATAAGCCATTTGCAACTACATGCAAACACCTACCTACTGCTCACCGAAGGGAATCGGGGTTCAATCAGTCACTTAAGAGGCAGATAGCACGTACATTTCAGTCAACAGCCGGCGCAGCCAACAAACAGTCGCGCACCCGCATCTGGTTCTCGCAGCTGAGAAAAGCGGACACAGCGTTTCCAAAACGATCGCGACAACCAAAACATGAGACAGACGCTTGCTTACCTTTTCCAGTCCTTACACGCGTTCTAGCGTTGGCGATTGCAGCCAAACAATTCAGGCGAAGCAACTTCCAGCCCGATCAGAACCCCTCACCGCCCTCAACAGGTGTGGGAAGTGACGACGCGCGCTCACGGCGCCGCAACTAATCAAGTGACGCATCCCAGGTAGCAAATGCTTCCTTTTTATAGCCCGTATGCCGTATTGTGATAGGGCAGAGAAAAGGACCCGTAAATTAATGACACTTGGCAACTAATTACCTCTCCTGCCACAGATGGATGGATGGATGGATAGACGGATAGACAGGCAGGCAGGCAGGCAGGCAGACAGACAGACAGACAGACAGACAGACAGACAGACAGACAGACAGACAGACAGATAGATAGATAGATAGATAGATAGATAGATAGATAGATAGATAGATAGATAGATAGATGTTGAATTTATGTACAGTATTTAAGGTAAGTACATCACGAATCACTAATTAAATTACCTAAAAATGAACAGTAAGCACTTACATTACTTTTACAATGCATATGTAATTTAATTACATTAACTAATTACACACTACACAATTATCACACTCATACTGAAGACATTATAAAGCACTTCTCAGTTAATATCTTAGGAGTTGTGGGCTGTCAGCAGTTACCAGATAAGATGGATTAAATGAGCACAGCGCTGTTATTTAACCCTGTAGAGCACAAGCGCTTTAGTTCCACAATATAAAAATGAACACACAAGACTAGGACTTGTGGCCTCTATAAAAGCATAGATCATCTCTTAACAGCTTCCGCGCTGGCGGTAGGTCTGCCCTGAAAGGTTTATGCGCTATCGCCGAAAATCAATTTCACTGTGGAGAAAATAAATGGGTTTTTTACTTGCGAGACCCGCCGGTTTCCTCTCTATTCCCTCACATTTGTCTGATGGGAAACAAGCCGAAGCAAACAAAAGGGTTTTATTGTGACTACTTACACACGTGCTCTATTATGCTCTTTTGAAAACTCATTTGGGGATAAAAAGATTTAATCACAAAGCATGTTTTGTGTGTGTCATGTGCTCTTATTCCTGCAGGAGGTTGAAGAGCTGCTGCACAGTTTTCTGCGTTCGCAAGGAGAGATTATGATGGAGTCTCTGACGAAGGAAACTCGCCTGACAGAAAATCTACTGCAGGTTAAACTGAGACAGTCTGAAGTGCAAAGACAGCTTGCTAATACACCTGTTTTCCCTGAAAAACAAACATCGATAACGCCAACAAGATCCAAAAAGAAGGGAAATTGACGTACAGTTTTATCATTTGAGATGTCCATGATAAATAAAGCTATTTTAAAAATACACTCATGCTTACCTCATACTATCCTCAAGCCTGGGGCTCCCTCCCGTTAGAAGGGCGAGAGGCGAGTTCGAGCTCAGGTAGGTCTCGAGAACTCCCCTGCTTGTTGCCGTGAGTAGTGTAAACTGAGGTTGTATTGGGTGATAATTTGTTTTAGTCGATAGGCTATGGTTTATGTTTTGGATGGTGGGGGGAACCCCACGCGAACACGGGGAGAACATGCAAACTCCGCACAGAAACACCAACCGGCCCGATAGGTTGGACGAGCGGTATTCTTGCTGTGAGGCAACAGTTCTAGCCACTGGGCCACTGTGTCGCCCTGTCAGAAAAGGGGAAGGATACAGGGGGGAGCTCCATGACGAAGATAACTGTAGTGAAAAACTCAGATTATTTATAATGCTTCCGTAATCATATAATAGGGCAGATTACGGAGCTAATAAGGAGCCAGCCGTGTTGATCATATGCACGTGATCATCTCGAAATTAGCTTATGAATAAACCACACAAAAGTTTTGTTGACTTGGCTTCATAAAGTGTATGAACATTTTGGGCGCTAACATACACCCGGTGCAGTGTGGCGCAAGGCGTGACGCAATAGTCTTTTGGTAGTTTCAGCTTGGCGCAAGAGTTGTTTTGAGGCGCTGCGCTGCGCTACGCTGTTTAAATAGCAAATGCATTAGCGCTCATATGTGCGCCCATAGGCGTTCTGGTCTAAAAAGGAAGGAGTTCTGAGGCGGACCGCTGACGCGTCGCTATTTTAAGAAACTATAATAGATTTTTCATTAGACCAAAACAAACCCGGTCTAAACTCCAGCGCAGAGTTGCGCCTCGCTTACACACTGCTTAATACACACAAGAGAGCAACAGGCAAATATCTTTACATATGAAAAAATTAAATATTAAGGATATATATAGGATATAAACAAAATAGATATAGAATATAAATATAAAGGATTAAAATATATTATAACAAAACATATTATTTTCTAGCCTACATAAATATGAAAAACCACTGCTTTTATGTCTTCTTCATCTCGGGGGGCTTTTTCAGTTCATTCATAACAATTTGCTTTTGTATAATGTTATTATTATTAGCAGTATTATTTATTATATCCATATTTATATTTGTTTTATTAAAAAACAAGCTTAGATTTGCCCACCTGTCAGGTTTTAGACCATATGGGGCACAGCATGTGTTTTAGGATATAACTCAGGTTTTTGAACACATTTTGTTATTATTGTTCATTTATTCGTTTGCTGGAAATTAGAACTGAATTTAGAAATAGTTTTGAAACAAATATTTGCGCTTAACAAACAAAAGTATTTATTTATAGACTAATTGATGTCTGTGCATAAAGGTTTCCCTATCCAAGAGCGAATGTAAAAGTAGATCCATTATCTCTCATTCTCACGCAGTAGATGCTCTGTTTAACAGTTTTCTGTTAACAAAAAAAACTGTTAACTGTTAACTTGCTTGTGAAATGCAAATTTTTTCCACTTAGACTTACTTTGCGTCCTGTAAATAGCGAATGCGCTCTTGGCGCGACGCAGCTGGCTCTTAAAGGGAATGGGAGATGAGACTCTAATTGGTTTATTCTCAAAACACACCTATAACTCATTAAGAAAATAAACTCAACCCTTTTAGACCATGCGCCACGGCGCAAAGCGGATTTTCCTGTCCTTAAATTAGCAAAAACGCGTCCTGACACGCCCTGAAAGCTTTTGCGCCCTGCGTTTTGTGCCCTGCGTTTTGCACTCTGCGCATGGACCGTCAAAATAGAGCCCTTAGGCTGTAGTGCTTAGTTTGCTACTCTTAAAATTTCTTATATGCCTTTTCTTCAAAACATTTCTGTCTTTATATGTTATAATTAAAGGCACTTATTTTACTCCCTTTACAAGATGTAAGACAAGCTTTTAATGCCTCCAGAATGTGTCTGTAAAGTTTCAGCTTAAAATTCTCATCAGATTATTTATTATAGCCAAACAAAAAGTGAAGCACTATGATTACTTTCTGGATTCAGTGTACATAGCCATTTTATAAAAAGAGTTGGCACAGATATTTTAATCCCTGTTTTTTTGTAAGAAAAATCTTCCGTGGACATGTGTATATGTGTTATTATAGAAACATGGCGTCTGTCAATCAATTCGGTGGATGGGGAAAACCGCATTCCTACGTCACAATGCGGTGGGCCTCACAATCACTGGGATTTGGATCCTATCAGAAAAATAAAAATAAAAAGACTTCCTGTGTTTATATCACCCCAATATGACAGTGGACACAGTATACATACAGACAATTCTGTCCAAACAGCTTTCAAAAGTTGATTTTCATCATAGGCGCCCTTTAAGACTTCTCCTAAATAGCAGTAAAGGTTTTTAGCAATGTTTGCAAAAAAGTTAAGACAATGTTTGACAAAGGATTATAGAGAAGTTTTAAAGTGGACCTATCATTCCCCTTTTTACAAAGTGTTACATTAGTTTGTGATCTCTCTAGAGCAGGGATGGGCAAACTTGATCCTCGAGGGCCGGTGTCCCTGCAGAGTTTTGTTCCAACACTAGTCAAACACACCTGAACAAACTAATCAGTGTCTTCAAGATGCCTTGAACTCTATAGGGAGGTCTGTTTGATTAGGGTTGGATCTAAACTATGCAGGACACTGGCCCTCCAGGATCAAGTTTGCCCACACCTGCTCTAGAGTGTGTATGTAAAGTTTCAGCTTATAAAACCACACTAATAATTTTCTAAAAACTCTTTGAAATTGCCCCTTTTAGGCTTTGATCCAGATTGCGCTATTTTGGTGACAGAAATTCATATGATTCATATAATATTCATATAATTAAAAAAATTTCATATATTATCAAAAATGATAAATGTAGAGTTATGATCTTTGATTTCTATATAAAAAAATATATATATATATAGTTTATATATAGCCAATCATGAGCTTTTAAAGCAACGGATGCATGCTTATAAGGAAAAAACAGTGCAAATATGTGCTACATATGAAGAGAGGCAAAGAGTTTGACCTTCATTTGTCTCACTAACCTTCATTTTACACTGGAGAGCCCAATTACCATGCGAACCATTGGGTCCCGACTCCTCCAGCGCATGTTGGCAGATAGTGTTCAGTTGGCTCTCGAGTCATCCTGGATTGTGAAGCAGTGAAGCTGAGCATCGTCTGAACTAGTTCTGGCAAACCAAAGTCATGTTTCCAGCCCCAGTCACAGCAGGCAGCTGTCCAGCACCATCAGCCAGCTTTCAGCAAGACTCACACACGACAGTGCCGTCCCCTTCTACACTGCAGGAACTACACATTTGGTCAAAATTCAGTTAAAGCCTAAAACAGGCCTGCGCCGTCATGTGACAAAGTCTCCTGGTTCAATTTTGGGTCAAAACTGCAGTAGCTACAAAACCCAAGCTGGTGTAAAAACTTTCAAGGCATTTTGTTCAGTTTCAATGTTCGCATACTGTAGAAACTACACTTTGCGTTTCAAGAGTTCACACTTAAATGATGATTAATCAGTTGAATGGAGGAGTAGAGAGTTTTGTTATGTGGCTGAAATGAAGCAAATTATTCACATATTTTCTGGAAATGTTTAAAAATCCAGGCATTTTGGCAAGAAATTCATAAATGTTTAGAAAATATATTCCATATCCCCATCGATTTTTCTTTTTCAACTTTATACTTAGGCCTAAAAAAATCCTATTTTAGAAGAAAAATCTGACAAAAAACTGCTGAAAATTTTGCTGATAGCCTGTAAAAAAGCTATAACCAAAAAATGGTTACAGCTTGAAATACCTCAAATTAGTGACTGGTTTGACATAATTTATGAAATCTATAAGATGGAGAGGCTAACAATGAACCGTTGTCTACAGACTGCAGAGTTTAATGAGACTTGGAGAAAATGGTTAGAATATATTTTGTCGTTAAGACCAGATTTACTATAGAATGAATGAATGAATAGTTAGAAAGATGT